ACACAACAAAACGTGCTTTTGTAAAATAATGAAAGCAAACAGGATGCGCTTTCTGCTGTCTCGGTCTGTAAACTTGAACGTAAAAATAAGTATATCTTTGCCTTACAGACATTAAAAATATATCTATAGAGACTGAAATGTCTACTTTAAAATGAACCAATTCAAATGTAAAACAAATATTCTCAGATGATGTAATAATTAGACACACACACACACACACACACAGTGTTGGGGCAGGGGGTACATTAGTCACTAGCTGCTCTACATGCATGCAGCAGTGACTGCAGGGACCCATGCAGGAGGAAGGGGTTGTCTGCGGCAGCACTGACTAATGCGTCCTAAGGCGCCACCTACAGTGCATGGGGGTGAGCGTGGAGGACATGGTGCTGGGGCGGTAGCGGTATTTTCCGGGTAGGCTGCGGGCCCGGTTCAGACCAGCCAGGCTGAGGTGTGACTGTGAGGGCGGTGCCGGAGGGAGAAGACTTCCTTTACGGTTATTAACAAGAGGTACGGCAGTCGTGGAGCACTCTATAACCGGCAGCACACTGGGAAGAGTGTTGGGAACAGCCATGCTGTTGGCCAGTTTGACTGAGCGGTTCTGAAAAGTCGGTATAACTTCCTCCTTTACTGTCAAACAGTGGAAGACAAAAACAGGAGAGATGACTGTGAATTGGGTCAGTGACATATAAGAGTGCCTACAATAAAGAAAAGGAAAAATATAATCAAGTATTTAAAAAAAAAAAAAAAATCTTTAAAACACATGTGCCAAGTTCCTAGAAAATGTATTTTGTATTCATGTTGGTTTCATATAGTTTTGAAAAATGTTATACTATTTTATGAAGCATTTAAATTAAATCAAAAATAAAAAGATTAAATGTATTAATGTTTTTAATTTATTACGCGATTAAAATATTTTAATGCAGTTAACGCACTGGCCCCGCCCCCAGACCTGTACGTCATCTTACATTTCATTTAGTTGACTGTTGACAAATATGATGCAGGGTAATAACTCCATAAATGCAGTTATGCCATAAAATTTAAGATATTGGTGCAAAAAATGCCCCTGTATGAGTTTTTTCTCATATTTATATATATCACATATCAAACGATATCACACGAGCAGCGAGAGCAATATCACAGGAGTGCTGACTTTGTCCCGATCTATCACGAGTTTAAATGTGATTTTATACAACAGTTCAGTAAATAAGAAGCTGGTATTTTGTTATATTTTAAACACAATATTATGTGTTTTGGCTCAATTTTGCAGAGAACATATTATCTTTTAAGCCACAGCAGAATTGTGGCATGTCTCCGAGCAACACAGCGGTGTTTAGTTTCTGAATGAATCCACGTTTTGAACGAATCATGTGAATCAATGATTCAAAGGCCCATTCATAAACAGAGCAATTTAATTCATTCCTGAATGAATAAGCTGTTTGAACGAATCGAATGAAGACATTTACCGCCACCTGCTGGCAGACTTAGTTTGTTATTTAGTGTATCATTTCATAAAAAAACAATAATAAAAATAATAAAAAGGATAGTTATTAAAACAGCCTCCTTACTGTGACACATTCATAATCATAGCCAGAGGCGGACAGTAGTGAACTATTTTTACTCTGCTGTAAAAGTACTTTTCAGGTGTCTGTACTTTTACTTGAGTACAAGAAAGTACTCAATTTTTAATGCTCTTAAGTATTAAAGGTAAAAAAAAAACCAACAACAACTTTTATTTACGAAGCGTAGTAGTGCAGTAAAAAGTACGACATTATGCTTTGGAATGTAGTGAAGTAAAGTTTTCCAAAGAAAAACACTCTGATAAACTACAGTCAGCCCTAATATATATATATATATATATATATATATATAATACAGAAAGCAAATATTATTATTTTATATTATTCATTAATTTATTTTTTTAAACTATCATATATTATTAACACATGAATATCATGAAGCTTTTGGCGAGTCACACCACATGACATTTTACAACCTGAATTAAACTTGTCATGAAAAAGGTAAAACTACCTAATATTTTAAGAGGCTGTAAATTAAAAACAAATCCCTGGTTAAAAAAATAACAATAAAATAAAAAGTATTTTATAAGATTTAAAATTGCTTTATAAAAGTCACCTAAAAGCACATGCCATTAGTGCTTCTAAACTAAATATATTATGATTAAAACATTGAAGCATTCATAATTTATCCCTGAACTGCATGAGAATCACATAAATATTTAAGTATGAAAATACAAG